CCCACGATACCTATTTGCAACTTGGTTTAGATTGTGTGAAATCTGGTGTAGATATGGCATAACCACTGTTCATTGACTATCAACATTTCGCTTAATTCGGGCACACCTTTTTACTTTTTTTTTTTTTACCAGTGTTCCAATTATTTCCGTCGTGACTTGAATCGGGAATCCGGAAGTTTTAAGTCATTCGATTTGGGCCACGAAGGTGCCAGGAATGGCATGGTGGCATGACTTTTTTAAGGCTGAAGAGAGGCGCAGGAGATAGCTATACCCCTCTTTACAACCTTGGAATGCGAGGACGTGTAGGGGAGAATGCCGAGCGGGGTGAGAAGGACCAGCACAAATTCGGCTAGCCAAATATGAATCGGCTTGTTTTTTTTGTTTTTTTTTCACAGAAATGCTTTATTAGCTGGATCTGCTTCTGCGTGCCTAATCACTTTGTACTTTTTGTTTTTTCGTCAATGATGTACTGCGAATGCATTATTTATATCTTCAGGTTTAGCACTGCCTGAGCTTGATCTTTTAGAAGTGTTTGCTTGTCTACAGTGTTTCGTAAAGTACATATAAAAAGTACTTGAAGTAAAGGACAAAGTAAACGAGAGTTATGTACTTACGTAGACCGGGTGCAATGTACTTCAAGTAGCCGTATTATGAATACAATATAATTCAAGGTAAAGTACAAGTACTTTTAACACAATCTTTCATTCCCTATGCAGTGTATTTTTTAATGGTATGCATTGCTCCAGGCTTAATCGGAGTTACATCACTCTTTTACGGAAATGGCGGCAAATTTATAAATTCAAGTCTCCACAGAGTACATGTTTTACTCTCGCTGACGAGGCATTTGACACAATCAACTTATAAGGCCCTTATTTGTGTCGGTCTTATAGCCGTCATTACTTCACTCAGAGAAATGACCAGATGAAGCCTCGAAAGAGCGCGTTTTCACACGACGATACGCCATTTTTTGTTTTGCGAATTCGGGGAATGTGCATTGAAGTCGGGAGTTTTACTTTCCTTGAAAAGTACCAGAAAAAACTACTTTGGAAAAGTACATGTACATGCTCAGAGAATGTATACTTCAAGTAAAGTAGAAGAAGAGTAGTGCTTTAAGTACCATGTACTTAGAGTACTTCCCAACACTGCTTGTTTATTATTTTTTTATATAAAAAAACATTGGGGGAATTACTGTAGTTTCACGAACGATCTTCGAAACTTTGAAGACCTGCATATTCTCAGCTTTGTGAGGAAAGGCAACGCAAAAAGGTGTCCTTTGCGTTGCCCTGTAGCACGCGATTCTTCGAGTACAGGACAAACTACGGGAGCACCAGATGAGCTTCAGAGCGGTGCTGCATTTTGTTGCCTCCTTTGAGTGAGAACGAAGTGTGTACACCTCCTGTAGTGGGCGAGAGTTCCTAGGTTGGGGAAAAGCGGGGACCAGCCCTTTCTTCAAATGGGTCAAGTCTCCTTGAGCTTCGGGACACAAAGAAACGGCGATAATCCCACAGTTACTCCGCCTCTCTTGCGTCATGTCTGTTCTCTCCCCGCCATACCTCGGCAAACCTCACTCATGAGGGCCCTCACTCACCCTCATCTTCACAGGTGAGGTGAGGGTGAGTGAGTTTCTGAACCAGGAAAATTCATGAGTGTGAGGGTGAGTGAGGGTGAGTGAGGGTGAGTGAGGGCCGTGAGGGCCGTGAGGGCTGTGAGGGCGGTGAGGGCCGTGAGGGCCGTGAGGGCCGTGAAGGCGGTGAGGGCCGTGAGGGACGTGAGGGCGGTGAGGGCCATGAGGGCCGTGAGGGCGGTGAGGGCCGTGAGGGCGGTGAGGGCCGTGAGGGCCATGAGGGCGGTGAGGGCGGTAAGGGGTATGAGGGCCATGAGTGCGTGAGGGGCGTGAGGGCGGTGAGTGACGTGAGGGCCATGAGTGCGTGAGTGGTGTGAGGGCGGTGGGTGCGTGAGGGGTGTGAGGGCGGTGGGTGCGTGAGGGGTGTGAGGGCCATGAGTGCGTGAGGGCAGTGACATGAGAGGCGTGAGGGCCGTGAGGGCCGTGAGGGCGGTGAGTGAACGAGGTGTGTGAGGGCCATGAGTGCGTGAGGGCGGTGAGTGCGTGAGGGCGGTGAGTGCGTGAGGCGCCCTTCAGGTCGAGCATCTTTCTCAGCAATTTTGGTGTTAATGGCGGGTTGTTCTCTAGGTTTCCCTAGATCGACACGAATTGCTGAGATCGGGTCCGGCTCGAAATAAGCAAGCAACTCGGAGCAATTCGAATACGTTTGAAGCGGCTGCATCCAATGAGGGACGCAAAATTTTCACGTGATACCTCGTGCCGGCGATGATGACACCCAGAGACTTGGTTCTGGTTTGAAATCGATCGTTTTTTTGGAAATAAACTGTTTCAGAAAGGGTGCATTAGTATTCTTCACGAGATTTAAATGCATAAAAACACGTTTATAACGCGTAATTGTGTCTAAATAGTGCAAGAAAAATAAAATTTTATGATGACGATGGCAAATTGCAGCAATTGGTTGCTGCGTGTGATCGCGGGCGGCCCGTGTTGCTGGTGTTGCGACGTAAAGTTTCTGGGCGAAATTGCCCCATCTGAAGCTGGCCTGAGTGGCGTGAGGGCCATGAGTGCGTGAGGGGCGTGAGGGGTGTGAGGGCCGCAAGGGCGGTGAGGGGCGTGAGGGCGGTGATTGGCGTGAGGGTGGTGAATAGCGTGAGGGCGGTGAGTGGCGTGAGGGCCGTGAGGGCGGTGAGTGGCGTGAGGGCTATGAGTGCGTGAGGGCCGTGAGGGCGGTGAGTGGCGTGAGGGCTATGAGTGCGTGAGGGCCGTGAGGGCGGTGGGGGTGGTGGGGTGGTGAGGGCGGTGAGTGGCGTGAGGGCGGTGAGTGGCGTGAGTGCGTGAGGGGCGTGAGGGCCGTGAGGGCGGTGAGGACCGTGAGGGCGGTGAGTGCGTGAGGGCCGTGAGGTTTAGTGAGGGTGAGTGAAGGGCTGAAGGTGAGTGTGAGGGTGAGGATGAGTGAGGGGCTGAGGGTTAGTGTAGCTGTGAGGGTGAGGGTGAGTGAGGGGCTTAGGTGAGTGTGGCTGTAAGGGTGAGGGTGAGTGAGGGCGACCTAAAATGCCGAGCTCTGCTCCCCGCGCCTCGTAGCAGGGTTGTTGTAGTGAAGGGCTCGTGAAAATTTTGGGAGGTTTCGGACTCTCCAAACCACCTTCTCCCCCCACCCACCCCTCTTTCCTATGCCATATTCTTCGCCCTCTTTGGACATATCAGCTGAACTTCCAATATCTTATCTCTTTGTGCAAGAATGTTTGTTGATAGACAAAATAACCACTAAAATTCTAAAGTAATTTTGAATTTGAGTAGAAGTTACTTGGAAGAAGTAATTAAAGTAAACTACTAATTACCGAAATAAAGATGTAATTGAAAGTTTCTAAACTACTCAGTAAAGTAGTTAAACTACAGCAACTTGAGTAGAATAGTTGAACTACGTACAAGTCTGGAGGGGAGACAGCGAGCAAAGACCCCAAAAGGCAAATAGACTTTTCATCTACCTACTAGTCATTCCGATCCAGGGGTTCCGCCCGCAATCAAAATTAGAGGAGGTGTCTGAATTTCCAGGGGTCTGGAAAGGGGGGGGGGGGGGGTTTAAGGAGGCAATTTTATCTCGGTATTTACTCCCCCCCCCCCCCCCCTCCCCGCATATGTGCTGCGTGCTGCCCGACAGAGCTTCTGCGACTGTATACTTTCAACATAACATATTATAACATTCAATAAAAATGCAAAACTAAAAAAAAAAGTAAAGCAAAAACCAACTTGAGAAAATATCAATCACGGTATCACTATTGTGATACCGCAATAAATGTCAATAACAAATATATATATTCGACTGAAGAAGAATCTATGAGCACAGAAACTTTTTTCTCATATTTCGAAAAAAATCGCCAGCAAAAGTAAAAGCTTTCTCTTTATTAAGATGCAGACATATAGAAGAAGAGGTTATCTCATACAATATAAAATGGGGCGACCAATGTTAATAAAATCTAGTCGCACCTTTTCTTCCGACGTAACAAAGAAGACGACGATATAAAGTACAACCTCTGGTACCACATTGACCAAAAGTTCGGAACACAATTTTTAGGTATTTCGTATTGAATACAAATGACATATGCTTATAATTTAACACACTGGAGATGAAGCGAACCTGAACAAAAGAAAGAACCCCACACCACCGCACCGATACACACATGCGCACACGTGAACGTCGTGAAACACAGGCTCTTATGCAGTTGACCAGAACACACCAACACAATAATTATTTAATTATGCACTCCCCAGAATCTCCCAACCATGAATGCTCAGGACTGTTCTGACGCTCGGAAGATGCGTATCAGAGCTCTCCACTTTGCGATTAAACCCAGACGATGCATGGAAACCGTGACGAGACGTCCCCGGGAGCTTTCATCTTCTCCTCTCCCGCTGTTTCTCACCGTATAGGCTCCTTGCACATGACGTCATTTCCGATACCCTCCAGAGAAGAGGGGGAGAAGGAGCTCCCCTCTTATCAGGACCCTCCTTTGTGCCTCCCGGATTTGCACAGGCGTCGCTATTCTCCTCCCAGAAGATTATAGAAGATTAACCCGTCACTCAAAATTCTTACAAAAGCAGCTTCCCTCTCCTCCTTTTACTTGGTGTGCAAATGTGTGCGATGTGACGTCAATGCAAGGAGCCTATAGGCTCCTTGCACAGGACGTCATTTCCGTTGCCCTCCAAAGAAGAGGGGAAGGAGGAGCTCCCCTCTTATCAGGATCCTCCTTTGTGCCTCCCGGATTTGTACAGGAGTCGCTATTCTCCTCCCAGAAGATTATAGAAGATTAACCCGTCACTCAAAATTCTTACAAAAGCAGCTTCCCTCTCCTCCTCTTACTTGGTGTTCAAAAGTGTGCAATGTGACGTCAGTCAGTGAGGAGGAAACGAAGCGTATAAAAGTCGGTCGGATCTCGTCGCGATCGCTAGCATCACACTTCGCTGGCGCGTTTACAATTCTGTCGGGGTCCGCTTCAAGATGACTTCTTCCTTCGCTTTGGTCCTTCTGCTCGGCGGCATGGCAGTCTGTGTCGCCACGGGAGTTTTCGGAGGCTACAGCGAGAGGGCGAACCACCAAGCCAACCCGGAGTTTCTGAACCTGGCTCACTACGCGACTTCGACTTGGTCCGCTCAGCAGCCCGGCAAAACTCACTTCGACACCGTAGCTGAGGTGCTCAAGGTAGAGACGCAGGTAAGGTTCTCTATCCTATTAAAAAAAAAAAAGAAAGGTTTAGCAGCTGCGTATATTAAGTTCAACAAACTCCCAATATGATTTATCGCTGTCATATGTTCAGGTATTATGAATATAGTAAGATACCGCTATAATTTGACTAGTAAATACGGGCAGATACAGACACTGACATGATTTAATGTCTAACTTTACTGAATTCCGGTGCAATTACACAGAACGATAACAAAGTAGGAAGGCTCTGATGGGGACAAGCCTTGAATGTGTGGTTTAAAAACGTTTCCGCTACGGCGCAGTGACGATTTATCAAAACATCGATCTGCATTGAAGTGTGAACGTTTTATAGTGATACGGAACCAAATTAGTGTTCAAGATATGCAAGTTTTAGTTTGGCATAAAAACCTACACAATCTCGGGCAAAAAAAAAAAAAAAAAAGCAATAGGATGTGCATACACAGTTTGTGTCACAAGACAATGAGATTTTCTGGGAAGCTTAAAACAGACAAGTAGCACAAGTCTTCGCAGATAAAGAACACTTAAATAAACTAGCAGCTGACGTTTCGCTAACAGCTGACTTTACACGAAACGTGCATTCACAATTCAGCAGGTTTTTCTTCAAGTACTTCCTAGAAGCTTCAACGAAATAAGAGCAATATAAGAAATGGTCGGTTTAAAAGGAGTGCATGCATAGAACTGGAAATGAGAGCACAATGATAAATTGAGTTACTTTTCAGTGTCATCAGCAGGACACTGTAGATAAAATCGAGTCGATCACTCCCCTCTTCTTTTTTCCTTTCGGAAGATGCAAACACTCGCTGAAAGTGTCACTTCATTTGGCATTTCTGTGCATCCCACACAAGTTTTCGAAAGGGGTTTCTAAAGCTATGTATTTTCAGACCCCGAAAATAAAAATTCGAACGGAATTTATACCGGAAATTTAAAGTGGATGGCAACAAAGCGAGCGCGCGAGTCGTTGTGAAGAGCAATCATGGTAACTGACATCTTAAGAAACCCCGGGCATATACGTGCCGAGTCCCGAGACCTAATTACCGCTCTGGAGCCGATGAGATTACTGCATTGGCCGATAAGAGCGTAGAAGCCACGCCTCGCGTTTTTTAAGTTGTAAGTCATGATACTGTACTCCTTGTAGCTTGTATGATTATGCTCGGTCACTGCAAAACACCTCTGCCGAATGTTTTCAGGTTGTTGCTGGAACCAACTACAGACTGACGCTCAAGGTCGCAGAGTCGACCTGCGAACTCACGTCCACGTACAACAAGGACACCTGCCTACCCAAAGCAGACGCGGTGAGTTTGGTCATTGTTAGTGACACTAGTCTCAGACCCGGCTGAACGCTGCCGGATGACGGAAAAGTGATTCCTGTGGCTGATCGAAATGGTGTTCAGATTATACCATGCCAGGAGAGCCATTACGTCGCGGTTCCTGAATCAATGTCATTTCGTTGCTTGGTTGTAATTTGGGGGACTATATATTGAGAGCGTTTTAGTATCAGTAACTGTAGATTGTTACTTTTAGTTAACGTAAAGTACGAGTCACTATTCTCCCTTAGCAGAATTCTACTTCAGTGCTTCTCTTTGAAGCTAAATGTAATTAAATAAATTTAGGGCCATTAATTAAAAACATAATTTGAATTACAATTAGGACTACTTCAGTGGTGATTTTTAAACGCTGCAGCTCATTCTTATACGGTCACTAGAAAGTTTTAGTAGACCGTACGCTGCAGACTGCTGGCCTAGCGAACGCGTGCTCAACCCGCGTACTTCAAAGTGACGGCATGACCTCTCTCTAGCAACGTAAAGCTCTAGCCTAGGGTCTACTCGGGGATTGTGGGTTCAACCCCCACCCCTGCCCGTTTCGATCTGGATGAGCATCGTACCGGCGCGCGGTCGTGACGGAAGTTAAAGACCCCAGTCTAGCGGTTGTACCGCACTGGCTAAATTGCTTATCTACTGCTGAGACACCAGACGCCCATTGAGGCTGACAAACTTCCGGCTGTGTAAGCATACACGTAACGCTAATATTATTATTACGGTCTACTGAAACTCTCTACTGAGAGGGAGGCTGACTTTGGTAGCCGGAAAAGTGCGCCCGAGCTTCGAACGTGTAGATGCAACTCTACGACGCGCTCTGGAAGTCATAGCGCATGTGCTATTCTCAAAGAAGTTTGAGTTTTACATATACGACGAGGAACTGATGGTGACTACGAGACGGGAGCGCGAGGGGGTCGTCGGAACACCGGGCTCTGGTTGGAATGATTAGCGGGTAGACTTTGTCTCGACTCGCTGCCCGAACGCTTTCGAACGCAAACGCCGGACACCGGCGTTCGTCTTTCGAACGCGTTCGAAGAATGAACAGAGACAAAGACAGCAATTTAGGTCCACCATGCACTTGTCATTCCAACCAGAGCTCGGTGTTCCGACGTCCCCGTGCGCTCCCGTTTCCTCCTCTCCCTCAATTTCGTCCCGCATGGGTTTGCATTCTTCACCATATTCCTTTAATTGCAGCCTTTAAAAAAAAAACACAGTAAAGCAAAACATCCAATACAACATAATATTCTGGTCTTCACTCTAAGGCACAAAATACGTCGAAGTGTCTGTTATATTTCTATGCACACTTACAAAAAAAAAAAATAAACATTTTGTGGGGTCTTTTTTTGCAGAACACGGAAGCAGCCAATCACGGCGAACCATAGAAGGATTTTGACGAATCACGAAGCTCGGAATACGATCGGATCTTAAATATGCGATGTGCGCAAGTACACTGCGCAAGTGAAATGTCATGCTCATTGTCCATGAGCACATTGAATTTCTCAGATATAATCGTATTCTGAGCTGTATCATTTGCAAGGATCCTTGTATGGTTCGCCGTGATTAGCTGCCTCCATGTTCTGCAGGAAAGACAACCCACGTACCATTTTTTTTAGAGCGTATTCGCTCTGAACTAAATAGCTAAAGGTCAAAACCGATATTAAAAAAAAAAAATGCTTTCCGTCGTGCTGTTGCCTGCCCTGTTCTCAAATGTCGGTTCGTTCCATTTGTCTTGTAGGCGCACAGGACTTGCACGACTGTCGTTTTCGAGAGCCTGCAGGGAGAAAAGTCCGTCAGCTCCTTCGAGTGTGAAGCCGCATAGAAGTCCAGCTGTCTTATTGACCCTCCATTGTTTGTCACGTGATGATTGCATCGTCTTCGATTGCTTCTCGTTGCTTTCTGTCTCGTCCTCTTGGGGCGAACTTATTTTGTCATTCGTGACAATATGACACGTATACGGGCTCAATCGTCTTCTAGACAGAGGGGTTTTTGTTGTGGCCTGGTTGCGTTTTTTTAGCAGCCTTAACGACTTCGGTCGAACATGTTTTGCAAGGGTGGAGGTGCAAATAAACCTTTATTTCTGGGAATGATGCTAAGTTTCTACTACACTTGTAATAAAAAAAAATCTGCCGACAAGTTGTTTGCGTGTGTTCTGTGTGCCTTGTTTGATGGAATATGATTTTCGTGAGAAAGAAAGAAAATATTTTTTTCCTTGCTTCCAAGTATTCTTCATAAATGCCCCATGCGTCCACAATATTTTTTTTTTGTTTTGACGATATGAAGTGGATGTCGGCTCATAGACGAATTTCGTCTTTCTTTTTTATATTTTGATACAGCGAACGTCAAACTCTCAAACTTTGGTGTCCTCATCACAGCTAGCGCCGAATTCGTGCAGAGTTTCAACTTTCTGTGCTGCCTAGTTTACTTACGTGACGCGAAAAGCCACAGCTCTCTTTTTTTCTTTTTTTTCAAACACCCGGTAAATATGCTCGGAACCGTTTCGCAGCACAAGCGAAAAAGACGGACATGACAGATTACGTGTATTGCTGCTCTTCAATGTCGAGATATTCATTTTTTAAACATTCCTGTTTACTATTAGCCGCACAGAAAACAAAAAAGAGAATAAAAAAAAAGAGTAGGTGAAGATCAAGTTAGCACGAACCTTAAGGTTGGCCGAAGAATAAAATGACTAGTGATACCGAGATATCAGCTGGCTCACAGCCAAAGGAAAAAAACAAAAAGAAAAACAATTAAAGCAAGCGCCACAAAAAGGTCATCTGGCACTTATATATTTTTGTAGCCTGACGCAGGATGCCTCCCACATTGCGATACCATCTTTCACGCAGTCAAGAGGTGCGGGTTTCGGCTTTTGAGTATATAAACAGGAAGCTAAAGATGAATACAAAAAATAAATAAAAAAGTGTGCGCATACAATTTTAGACAGGGAGAGCGTCAACTCTGCTTGAATACAAATCAATTGGCGAGGTTGCCAGATTGTTGTAACACTTTTACTTGACCTTGAAAGCTACTGCATGGAGCGTGTGAGTCCCATCGGAGTGAAGGCCGCTTGTTCAATAAAAGAAGGAAAGTTATCAAAACATTGAATAAGTGTGAAGAAAAACAAAACAAGAACCAATTCAGCAAATCAAATAAATGAGGCCATTCTTTATAGATAGAGCTCCGTGTTTTCGGATAAATCCGAAAAACTCCGAAAAATACCCGCCGGTAAACTTTTGTCAATTCGGATTTATCCGATCAACTCCGCACCCCCCCCCCCCCCCCCCCCCTAACACACACACACACACACAACAAAAAAAAAAAGTTTACAATTTTTGCAGCACACAACAAAAAAAGAAAGAAAGTTTACAATTTTTGCAGCGCAGGATCAGTGGTCCTTGGAAAATGACACCGTAATTATCTTTCAAGCCTCGGACCGTTGTCCAAAGGGGATGTTACGGCTTGTCTCGTCAAGGTTTGTTCACGGAAACAGGTCATCGTACCATTCGTGTCACGAGTTAAGCCACTCTTTTGGTTTCCAGTTTAGGCCATGGGATTTGGGACTTAGAGAAAGGAGATGGTATGCTTTTGGGGGTAACAGTGAAAGCTATGGACCATAAAGATTGTATAAAATAGGGAAGGGGGCAGTTGAAACTTCTCTATTACATCGTTAACCACTCCACCTCGCGCGGCCGCGGGAGAGATTGATGGCATGACTACGACGAGCTTCCCTGCGGCTACCTCCGGCAGTTTATTCATTTTAAAGTATCGACGTTTATCGAAGCCACCATTGTGTGTGACTTTTGTCGTGGGACAAATTAGTATTGCCAATGACACCAACGCCAAATTCAACTGAAGAAATCTTAATTGATACAAGCAAGTTTTATTTTTTATGTGGCATAGGTTTGCATCCGGTTATTATTTATTACTTTTTAATAGCAAATACTGCAAAATTAATTTCCGAATTTTGGAGAATCGGGGATTTACAAAATATAAACTCCAATAAACACCAAATCTTTGCTAAAAAATAAACTCCGAAAAACGCCCTCCGAATTTTACGAAAAATGAACTCCGAGAACACAGAGCCCTTTTTATAGAATATCAGCATGTTTGTCAGGAGGAAAGTAAGAAGAAGGCTAACAAGAAAAGCTGCTGGAAGGTCTTATTTGTAAAGATAAAAATCTAAAACTTGCTCAAGGTGACATTTTTTTTCCTGATACTGCTATCGTTCTGTTATTTGAACATTTTTCGGTGGATGATAATAATTTAGGGGGAGACCCAGTGTGGAGAATATTTACCCAAAAGTAAATTGACTTCCACTTGAGATGAAGGGCAGTTCGGGCCCTCACAACTGATCTGTCGCTAACAAATCGGTCTCTGTTTGCACTTAGAAATTTCCTGAGCAATTAACTTCAGTTTTTACCAAATGGTTATATCTTAAGAAACGGAGCAGCCGTCGCGAGCAACGCGCTATGAACTTTTTGCTTTAAGCAACGTGATCATTGATACACTGCAACTGCTAAAATTGATCTGAATATTCCCCTTAACGTCGCATTGGTGTTGTAATCTTTATCCTTAATCGCACATATATGTAGGCTGTGTTTTGAAATAACATCTTCAAAGTAGCATTTCATCATCGTTGAAACTTGGCCACTCTGCCCAACTCTCGTCGTTGCGGTCAGTACCATTGTCAACGGTGATTGAAAAGGACACTGTCCCAAATCGACATCTTCCCATCACGTGTGAAGGTGTCGTGTGGACGGTGTCGTACCCACGCACACCTTCGGGGGTGTGTTCTGTCGTCGCTTTCGTCACATTGAAGTAGAACATATTTTGACTCTCTTTTATTCCGCGCGATGGCAAGCAGCTGCCTCTCCTACAGCGAAGTATTTTCTTGACAGACGAGGCACTTGAAGCGGGCGCATAACTTTTATGTGCAAAGCTTTCCTCAATTAATGATCAGTAATAGTTGCATCTGGTGCTATCAGTGAAAAAGGGAAATCTGGCCAGTGCCTATGCCTTTAGGATTCTAAAGAGTCGAAGCCTGCAGATCGAACCACCGCCGTGGATAAAATAAGTAAACCCCACAAGTTTCGATGTAGGGTAATCTCGTCAGGCGTTTGGGTGCGGACCGTCTGGTGCTTGGGAATTTTGTTGTGTGAATCTTTCGGTGGACATACATTTCAGTGAATGGATGCTTTGGTCCAGGGTATATTCATTATGGTATAGTCGGGGGAAAGGGGTATACAATGTATGTACAATGTTACGAATGTCTCACTTTTTCAACCTACCTACGAGCTGCGCCTCGCTCAGGCTCGGAGCATTGGAGCCTGCGCTATGAATTATGCAATGTACGAACGCGCAGACAATGCAACTGATTTGATATTTTATACTCAAGTGCCCGTAAGGCACTTGAGTATAAAACAGATCCCTTTCGTCGGATGGGTGTTTTAAATTTTTGATTGGGTGGTCATTGGTAAGTTTAGTGTTCTACAGCAGCGCGACGGTTTCGGACCCATTAGCCTGCTGAAAGTAGACAAAACAATTTAGGAAACCTCGCGCCTCCCACATACAACTTGCCAGGTGCATCGCGACTAAACGCCTCAGCATCGGCAAAGTTTCTCACCAAGATGTGTGGGGAAAAATTTGGAGCAATATATTAGAGTTTAAACCGTTCTTGAACATGACACCTACCGGGCAAGTGACTATGCTAATGCTAATGCTTAATTGTCATTTAGTTGTCTGTGGTTGGACAGAAAAAGGTTGGTCAGCAAAATGCGTTGCAAAGAAGCCTACATTTTAGGACAGATTTCATCGAACAAAGTATACAGTACACGGATAGGCTTGTTGAGTTTTTTTTTTATTATTATAATCGTTGCAGAAAATTAGCACTATTTGCAAGGCGCAAGACCTTTTCGCACCTTGACCCTTTCAAAACTTGTTTGATGATAGTCGTCAAGACTGACAAACAACTAAAATCAATATTTGCAAAAAAAAAAAAAAGAGCAACAAAACCGGTCAACTTTGGAAGGGTTTGAGACCGCGTCATGGACCGAGGGAAGAGAAAGGAAGAAAAAAAGAACGATTCAAAGACCATTTAATCATTCCGCGATGTACAGTGAGATTCAAATATGGCAGCTGGGCATTTATGCGGCCGCACACTCGAAGGAGCTAATGGACTTCTCTCCTTGCAGGTTCCGGTAAATGACAGTCGTGCAAGTCCTCTGCGCCTACAAGAAACATAAAACAAATCGAACATTGAGAGCAAAGCAATCACAAGCACAGTGTAAAATGTAAAAAAAAACAATATCGATTTTAACTTTTTTAAAAATCACATAAAAATATAAACCCTTTCGAAAGTCCCGTGCTGACTGTTAGAAGGTAGAAATCTCTGCACAATGGCCGAACAAGCGACACTGCGAAACGTCCAAGTCATTGCATAAGATGATGGCGAAATGAAACTAGAATCATCAGGGTTCTAAGATTACTCGACATTATTCATTTTCATCGACGCTATGAGAAATATTTTTCTAGAGGCAAATATAAGGCCCCAGAGGAGCACTGCCGATGTTAGAAGTCACCCAATAAGATCGTTTAGGAAAAAAAAAAAGGACTTAGTCTCGGAGAAGCTACCGGGGAGAAAATCGATGGATGAGTCTACTCTTTTATAAAAGACCGCCACGAACCCGTCGAAGAGATGAACGATTGAAATCTATATATATACTTGACTCTTACGGGGGTTATATTATTGCCGAAACATTTAAACACCACGTGTTTAAATAACAAAAAAAAAATCTTTTTTTAATTTGTAGGTTTTTAAGTTTTTTTATGGATGGATGGATGGATGAATCCGGCTGAGCCCTTTGGATCGGGCGGTAGTTTACGCCACCTAGCCATTTTATTTCTACGTCATACAGCGCCACTTGTGCTAACAAAGTGCACTAGCACAAAAATGGCTGCTTATCATGCTCATGTCTCTTTTTTCGCGATCCGCTCTTGGGCGCCCTCATTGTGTAGCTACCGCTCCCTCGTCGGTCCGGGAACAAGAAAGCGCTTGGGACACGGCACGCCCCGCGTTTCTAAAGCAGTCCTTGACCATAGGTGTCACAACGACAGAACTCACCGCATTTGCATTGGCTTGGCAGGTGTCCTTATTGTAGGTGGACGTGAGTTCACAGGTGGACTCGGCCACCTTAAGCGTCAGTCTGTAGTTGGTGCCAGCAACCGTCTGAAAGAAAAGAAAATTCGGCAGGGATGTGTTTAGCAGAACACCAGAGGTGTTCTAGCAGGTCTTCGCGATAACAAGCGCGCGGTTTATTTTGTTTGAACGATTCCTGAAATGCAAACCATATTTGGGACTCGGGCGCCTCCGGAACTACCATGAAGGGACAAAAGCTCGACCATGACGACGAAAGAAATAAATAATAGTCAGCCAGTAGGCGTGTTCTTATCATTTTTATTATTCAGGCGAAAAAGCTGAGTCAGTAGGATGTCGACGCGTACGGAAGAGAGGTTCTGCGCTTGCTTAGAACACGTTCGATGGCCCTGCGGACAAAGATGGCGGCTTGCAGAAGGCGATTTGTAGAATAGTGGCTGCGTTCGATTTACCCATACGCATCTCCTGCACGGGTGCAGAAAAGTGTAGGGCAGTGCACTTCCGGTATGTGTATCGAGATACGACCGGAAGTACCCCTCCCTACACTTTTCTGCACCGGTGCAGGAGGTGCCGGTAAATCAAACGCATCTACTCTATACAACTTTGCAGCGTTTATCTCAGACAAAAACTGCTGAGTCATTGGGCTGTCAACGCATACTTGTCGCGGACATTCCGGAGAAGGGTTACTGCGCACGTTCAAAATGGCTTCCACAGCCCGGTAGACAAAGATAGCCGCGAGCAGACGACGATAACGTAGTTGGTCTAAAGGGCATGAGACGCTCACCTGCGTTTCGACTTTCAGCACTTCGACTACGGTGTCGAAGTGAGTCTTGCCGGGCTGCTGAGCGGACCAAGTGGACGTAGCGTAGTGGGCGAGTTCCAGGTACTCTGGGTCATCCTGGTTCGACCTCTCGCGGTATCCCCCTCTAAGGGCGAGTTCGGCGCAGACTGCCGCGCCGCCGAACAGAAGCACCAAAGCGAGGGAGGAAGTCATCTTGGAAGGCGAATCTCGACAGTTGTGAACGTGCCAACGACCACAGAGGGAGTCGACTTTTAAAAGCATCGCTTCCTCCTCGCACGCGCTCTCTTTCCCCAGGTTTAACTACCGACGAGCCTGTTGGCTGGCTCCAGCGACGGTGGCGCCAACCCTGCCGACCGTTCGCTGAAGCTGGAACGCCGGTAAAACAATACGGAACTTATTTTCTTCTTCTTTTCTTATTTTTAGGTTTTACATATTTTTACAGCTACACTATGCGGTCTGTGCAATCGACAGATTATATCTTGGGGCTAATCATCACGGTAAGTCAACTAATTAACTAAAACTTATTAATTTGTGAATTTGTTAAAATTAATGGTTGGTTTCAATTATACACTTGCTGGTCGTCATCGAAAATCCCTAAATCAAATTTTGAAAAGAACTCGGAGCGCGTGGGGAAGCGCTGTGGTGTGCTAAAGTTACAAATTGTGCAAAAGGTGCAATGCTGGCGGTGCGAAATCCCGGATGAAACATTCTTATCAGTGTTTCCTTACCGGAAACGTGAGACTGTGTACCGCTGACCGGTGTCTCGTGCTTCTAACTTATTTGGCTCTAAACGAGATGCACAAAATACCTGTAAAATGTTCTGAAATACAAATGCAACATACTTGAACAAAACAGTATTTAATCGAAAATTCAATTACATTTTTTTTATTTAAAAATATAAAAATGCAAGATACAAATACAAACAAGGGTGTTTGATGATCTTCATATACTTCTACACATACACTTTGCTCTTATAGACTAACATCTTAGACTTACATTTAACCCAAGCAAAATAACAACGACCCCTGTGTTCAAATAATCAAGCGCTGAAAATAGAAAAATGTTGCAGCTCTAAAAGTAACCTGTTTTTGTCATGACTAGACAGGCGAGTAGAACATCAGTAAAACAATGCATTCAGCGCGAGATAAATTTCGGAGTCTGAGTTACTGTATGAAAGCATCTTCAAACATGGCAATTTCATGCGATGTGTTAAAAAAAAAAAAAGTAAGTAGCAAAACCAAAAAAAAGTCAATAATTGTATTCATTACGTTCATTACTCGTTCTGCTTTTTTTTTTTCTTCTGCCTTTGACAAATTTTTAGGCACAAAGCGCAGCAAGCTTTACCCTCTTTGCGTACGACTCCCAATGCGAAGAGTGCCCACAATCGCATTTGATTGCGTAGAACAGTGCCCCAAATTATATCCCAAATCAATATCGCTCAAATTGTATTTGGGCGATATCAAAATACACGTATAAAAAAGAAAGAAGAAACCTCAAAATTCCAGTGTTTAAAAGCAGACGACAGACACCATTCCCCAGTACTTAATTAAATTACGAATGCAAAAAAATACTCAAAGTATTTTCAATACGTATCTCAAAGTTTTGCATTTAAAATTCTGCCCATTCCCGGCTTTATATACACATACAGAAAGAAGTTACTCACGAATAGAAAGGATATAGATATTTCGAGGAAAGAAAAAAAAAAAAGTCGCTCAACGAGGAGAGTCTGTAGGCGTCCCTTTGGGGTGGCGATTACCCGCCAAAACGTCATCCATTTTAAAAATGACTTTTCCCCCGATAGTCACTGTCGACTGGAGAAACGCAGGGCGCGGCACTTCATGTACACGCGTCTCGCTTTGTGACTGGCTCTTCAGTGCTCTTTTCGGCAAATGCCGCAATTTGATTAACTGCGGAACCGTAATGAGACGCTTTCGACTCGTGAGCAGTGCCCTGGGTTTCATACGCTGTCGGGGACGAGTGTTGAATATTTATCTCGATTTAATAATAATATTAATAATAACGATGACGACTACGACGACGACGATAATGAGAATGCCAATAACGAAGATGGTGATAATGACGATGATGATGATGACAATGACAATAAGCTTTATTTTTTACGCGCCCACAAACAACCTCGCGGTCTATACTGCGTGGTGCGCAAAACTTTGAGTGGAGTTATGACACGTGAAACTACAACGAGAATACTGGTCATTAATAGCTCTTGAACGAGAAATGGCAAAAAGCGGATGACTATAAGGGTGTACCCGCGTTGCAGTGCTTACAAGGAAGACATCCATTCGCTTACGAACGCCTTCTTGTTTAATTTCATGGGAAGAGAGGTCTTGTAATTATGACGGTGCCCCGTTGATGATGCACCGTTCTATGAACCTTTTGAATACGTCGTGCAAGTTTCTCTGCTCCTTGCGCACCTCGTGTGTTTGTTTACCCCTCAAACGCCGATCGCGATTAAGTCAACTGTCGTTGGTTTAATGAAAGTTAAGAGCGTTAGTTTAACTAGGGCATTAGATACGTAAAATGGTAAGGTAAAGGCATACATGCTTCGGCAATACTTTGTCTATTTCATAAAGACACGTTACAAAACAGCGTTACATTAATGAACGATCTTTAGACCAATTGGATGATTCTGATCGATCATCGCAAGTTTGGATTGGACCGATCATCGCACCAAAGCGAGGGAGGAAGTCATCTTGAAGACGAATCTCGACAGTTGTGAACGTGCCAACGAACACAAAGAGAGCCGACTTTTAAACGCATCGTTCCGCATCGAAGCGGAACACCAACATCCAATCTTGGCGTTCCGCTTCGTCTCACGGACGTCTGCGAGGAGGCCCTGACACCTGCTTTACTAGATCATGGCTATTGTGCTGTCTCGTACAGCTACACGTTGAAAAAAAAAGAAAAAAAAAAGTAGGCTCTATTTGCAACTTTTAGCGATGGTGGTATCGCGGGGTGAAAATCGAGCCCCCTAGCTCCTGGATGATTGGCTTCACAATAAAGGTGCTTGCCTACACCCTCCTGTCGTGAAAAAATAAAGTAAGGCTCTAATAGTGCTCGTATATAGCAAAACTATAATTACTTACGCTTCGCAGACCCAGCCCCGTACTGCTCTTATACGACGATCATCCAGATGACAGCCATTTTCATAGGCGCAAGTGCGGATAGTCCTCTGCTAACCAAGGTAGCACTGGAATGACAGACTTTGTTGTCACCCTTTATCGACTCAACGAGATGCTAATCTTTGTATAGATTAGCCTAAAATGTAAGGTCCCAAACTGTAAGTCCACCTCAATATATATATATATATATTTTGTTTTTGCAACGGCGCTCCTTTTGGTTCTTTTTCACGAATTTCAAATTTTTTTTAGAATAAAATTTAAGCCAGCTTCTCGGTTTCTTTGTTGTATATGTTTTACTGTTGAAAAACTGCTATCGAGGTCACGCATTCGATCGAGTGAGCTGAGTTCGCTTGAAGCCAAATGTGTTCTTCAGAAAGAAGTCGTGTGGCGCACTGCAGAAATAAAACGAAGCGCACTTGGTTGAAGTGTACTAAATTAGCACGTCTGACAAGGGTATTATATACTGCTTCACATCAATTCTGACAGCAGCCAACGCTGCACTCTCACAAATAAGGGGTGTAGTACTTACATCCCTTGTCTCTCATATAACATCCCAAAATTACATTTCGACGTTCAGTCCACTGACGTTGAACTGAAGATACAAACTTTCACGAGCGGCTTGATAGCTGTGTGATAGAAATTACTAACTAGCTAATATATACCTATCAAAACTACTATAAAAAAAAAAAAAAACAAAAAAACCCGAGGTTTTGCAGCAGGGCGAAGAAAACCTTGAGTGTTTTCCTGTAGTCTTTAATGCGTACATTCGCTATAGTTTAGTAGGTTGTATTAGTCGACTATCAAGCCGGTCGTGAAAGTTGGTATCGTCGGTTTTACGTAAGTTTGATGAACGTCCATTTGTAGCTTTATGGGTGTAATTTATTTCTTTATTCTTGATTTGAAGATGCCCATTAACAGCTACACGCCTTACCAGTGACACACCATAACACATTCACAACGAAACAAGTAATGCGAACACTGCAATACTAAACGTACAAAAACAACATTGAAATACAGATGTCCTATGCCATTTTCGCTACTACTACGTTTTTAAAATCGCTAAAAATCAAGACGGCATCTTTTGCGGGTGACGCAAAATTGTTATACAAAGCCATCATTTTTGTGAGAGGCGAGAGGTTAGAATGTCTGCGAACACAAAAAAGCTCAGTATATCTTAAGGAGCGAGATAGTACGCGAATGCGTATATCGGTTTGCAGACCTGGGCAAGCTACTGGGCAATAATTTATGCAAAAATAACAAATCCCGAATATTTCTTCTCTCAGCAAGTTTGGTCATTTGAAATTTACAAGGTAACCAGCTATAACCCTAGTAAAAGTTTTTACCGAGGTGTCAATCGTAAATAAAACGGATAACGCACCTCTGCACGCCTTCAATGCGCTCTAGTCTAGGCAAAGTCAATGAATTCCACGCAGTTATGTAAATTTCAACCTCGAGCGGTCGTAACAGTTATGATTCGTGTGATTCTGGACACTATGCCAAGCATCCTCGATGATGAAGCAATTACAGCATTGACATGTTCTTCCATTCAATGGGTGGAATCCTGTAATACACCAACATCACGAATTTCAGATTTCCTTTCTATTTCACAGTGGTTCAGCATATAAGAATGCATATGCACTATATTTTTCCGGATAAATGTATAATGACGTTGGGTTTTCTTGTATTTAACATGAGACAATTTTTTGAACACCACGCACTGACCGCATTAATCACTTTGCAATTGCAAGCAATCTCCAGGGGCCTCAATTTGGTGAAATATTTTCGTCGTCAGCATAGTGCAACATCTGATAAAACTTTAGACAGTCGAAAAGATCGTCGGAAAAAATTATGTATAAAAGGGGACTAAGATTTGATCCCTGAGGCACTCCAGAAGTAGCGACGTATGGGGGGAGACATGACGCCTTGAATGCTTACAAAATTCGCGCGCCCCGACAAATAACTTCTAAACCATTTTGTGTACCTTTCTCTTACGACATATTCAGACATCTTAACTGAAAGCAATTCATGATTGACCGCATCGAAAGCTTTCGTCACGTCTAAATGAATTACATCAACTTGTC